CCAGCCGCAAGCCCTACCGCTGGAGCCGGAACCGCGGCTAGAGCCGACACACTCGCCGACGCTACCAACCCACCCACCTCGAGCCCCAGGCCATCCAGACCTACAGTACCGTACCCCCCCACCGCAGCCGCCGCAATCACCGGTGGTGTGGAACCCGACTCGAACCAGCTCATTGTTTTCTCCGGCGAAGGAGGAAGCGCCTGTGTCTTCACCACCGACTCATGAGCAACCCCCCAACGACACTCCACCTCCGCCTGGATGCCGAACTGGCACTTCTGGTACCCTACAGAACAACCACCATCTCACCCACTTCGGACTCAGCCGTCTTCGATCCAGCTCCCACTTAAGGGGGAGCGACTTAGGGGGGGGGACTTTCGGGGGGGAGGCTTTGGGGTTCCCACTTGCGGGTAGTAGGGGGCCCCAAGACGGGTTCCAAGAAGCTCGAGACCAAGCTTCGACTTGTGGGCTTGGGCTTAGGGGTGATTACCGTCGATGTGTAGGTGCCGATTGCCCTGGATAGGTTCCCAAATGTCGTTTCCATTTTTCGTCCTGATGACAAACTTGAATTCGAGAGTAGGTGCCTCGAGTAGAATATGGGTGCTTCTCCATTTCGGAAAGGCTGCAACATCCGTCGATAGCAGTATACCATTTGTAGGGTCCCAGTTAGCCAGCGAAGGACCCGCTCCCACGACCACCAGTGTGTCACCAGGCTTCGTTGCTGGGCAGTAGCACACCCATGTCACTTTAATGGAAGGCCGATCATTCATTAATCAAAAATTGGTTCGTTAATACCACAAGGTCCTTCCCACTCTCATCTCCACCCTGCGGGGCCAGCGCCGTGCCGTGCCAGCGCCGTGCCGTGCCGTGCCGTGCCAGCACCCTGCCGTACTAGCAGAGCTGCCGTGCAGGCTCGCAGTTTTTTATATAATGGCGGTTCCCAATGACAAGCTGGAAGCCGCGGACAAGTCCGCGGCTCAGATACAAATAACTGCAGAACAGCTGCTCAGGGAAGCGGCTAGCCTAAGCAAATATGATGAACCAATTACGAACGAAGAAGCCCTGCTTACAAATGAGGCGGAAATACACGAATACAAGTATGCACACGCGTGTCTGCACACACATTTCGCACACGCGTGTCTGCACACGATTGCGAATATGTTTGCGTAATGTGACGGTTACGTGACGGCAATGGGACGGTAAGGTGACGGCTGATTTTGTAGAGTCAAAAAGAGGAAAGACTTCGAGGAACGAGTCTTGAGCAAGCCTCATGCTGGTCGCTTCTGGATCGAGTATGGCCAATGGGAAGCCCAGGGGCTGGACTTCCGAAGAGCTCGGAGTGTTTTTGAGCGGGGCTTGAAAGCGAATTACCAGAATGTTGAGATATGGAATAAGTATATAGATACGGAGCTGAAGTATGAGTTTGTCAACTCTGCTCGGAACTTGTTTGACCGTGTGACAAAATACCTTCCACGTATCGACCACTTCTGGTTACGATATGCGTTATTTGAAGAGACGGTGGGGAACTACCAAGGTGCTCGATCAGTGTTTGAACGTTGGATGCAATGGTCGCCTTCCATCAAGGCGTGGATGTCGTATGTCAAATTCGAGGAGAGGACAGGGGAGCTTCAGAATGCCCGGGAAGTCTTACGGCGGATGACGGAGCTGCACAGGACCCAAGAAGCCTACATGAAGGCGGCGAAATGGGAGGAGTCGGTTCGCAATGTGGATGGTACTAGGTACTGGTATGAGAAAGCGTTTGCAGATTTGCATAAAATCAAGGCCATGGCGGCTGGCGTTGCCGAGGCACCTTCGAGAACCTTAGTTGCGGTTCCGACCGGTCAGCATCTGAGTGTGGGGACCGTCCAGGCAACTCCTTTAACCGAATCGTTTTTCATCAAGTGGGCTAGATTCGAAGAGCTGCAAGGCGATTACGGCAAAACTACAGCTATATATAGGAAGGGTCTGGAGGTCCTAGGGGCAGGGAGCATCTTGCACGGTGGCTTTGTGAACTTTCAAAAGCGTCAGGGCGAAGTGGAGGATGTCGAGGATCTCGTGCTGACTTGGCGAAAGAAGCAGTATGAGGCGCAGCTCGAGAAGGCCAGCGGGTACGACTATGACCTGTGGTACATGCTCATCAATTTGGAGCAGCAGCTGTACCCCAAGGACCCAGAGAGGGTGCGGAGGCTGTATGAAGGCGTGCTTGCAAAGAAGCCTAAGTCCGACCAGAAAAAAGACTGGAAGAGGTATTTCTACGTCTTGTTGAATTGGGCCATCTTTGAGGAAGTCACAGCAAAGGATGTTAATAGAGCTCGCTCAGTCTATCAGTGTCTCGCGGACAATGTCATACCACACAAAAAGTTCTCTTTTGCCAAACTGTGGTATCTTTGGGCACAATTTGAATTGAGAATCTGCGTCGACGACGTAACCCCAGCCAGACTCGTGTTCGGTCGCGCTATAGGCCAATACCCCAACCACAAGATCTTCAAACGCTATATTGAAATGGAACTGAAACTAGGAGAAATAGACCGCTGTCGACTGGTTGCGGCCAGATACGTCGAACATCAACCGCAAAATCCTAGATCCTGGCTCGCTCTTATAGACATTGAACTGTTGGTTAAAGACTATCAAAGAGCAAACCGAATCTTCGAAATTGCCCTCACTCACAAAGGCATACAGAATAGAGAGGAACTTTGGAAACACTACATCAGTGTTGAGTCTAATCTTGGCAACATACAAAAGGCGAGGAACCTCTACGAAAGACTATTTGTCGAGAGCGAGCACTGGAAAGTATTACAAGCACTCGTTGAATTCGAGTGGAAAACTGCCCATGACACTGAACGAGCAAGACAAGCCTGTCGGAGAGCCATCAACCTTTGCAAAGAAAACTCCCTAGACGCCGAAAGAGCAGCCATGATCAATGTAGGCACAACATCACACCTCTCCTACTTCTCACGCACTGCCACTCAACCTTCCTTTAGACCTGGTTGAATCTTGAGAAAGCTCTTGGGTCGCCAGCCACCGTGAAAATGGTTGAAGAACAAATTCCACGGAAAGTCAAGAAGAGAAGAAGCGTTGTTGCCGAAGATGGGCTCAAATACACGGAAGAATATACTGCCTATATTTTCCAAGACGAACCTGCCAGCTCTTCGGTAAGCATCCACCGCCGTATTTATCGCACCCTTTCCCGACTCACCTTCCATTCACATAGTCATTGGCGATTTTCAAAGCCGCCCAAAAATGGCGCAAACAAAAGGAAGCCGCTGAAGCAGCCGCTGGATAGAAGTCAACCGATGTATGCTATGTATCGCGAGCTAGTTCAGTTGCAAGCGTTTTGACGGAAGTCGCGGCTTCCAGTGACCTTTGAAGCGTTCCAGTATACTTGTCTGCGGCCCGCACAATTTCACCATCGGCTTCCTGTCGTTCACGAGACAATGTCGCGATGCTCTCGCGGAGATTGAGAAGCGTCTGGTCGACATACATCCGGAACGTGGCGTCGTTGGTTGTTTGGCCCCTAGACAACGCAGCCTCGACAGCCGTCGAACTGAAGCTAGATTCGTCAGATGGTCCATCTGCTGACAGCATATCGTATCGCGCTTTGAGTGCAGCTATTGCCTCGCTCATTATCATCTGCCAATAGGCAATCTACGGTGAAAAATAACAATGGCAGCGAAGCTGTCGGAGGAGGTGGAGATCACAGGGGAGGCCATGGTGAAAGTGCCAAACAAAGGCACAACATTAACCTTGCTGGAGGACCTAGGACTTTCTCTCACCTGTTGGTCGACTAATTGATCCAGCTTAAACATGCGCCGCAGTAATTCGTTCTCCAGGGAGTCCTGATCCACGGCGAATTGGTTGATGCTCGATTTGAGAAGCTCCAATTCATTTTTTAAACTCTTTACCGCGTCCCTTAGCTCTAGTTTAGATCCGTCAACTTCAACTTTATGCAAAATCGTTTCAATTGAGTCTAATTTTGACGCCACTTGCGTCAGAGGCCGCTGCAATGTCGGTTGTGAGGTTACACATCAAGCCTCTTACCGTGTATTTTGACATTGTGTCACCCATCCACCTTAAGAGATGATCCGCGCATGCCTGAGTATATTGTGTCGTTTTTCTGACAAAATCCGAACATTCCACTGTTGCCTTTTTGGCCTCCACGTCGATGGCGGCGTTAATCCCTTCCATCCGGGTTTTCACCGCCTGAGACCAGTTATCATGAATACTAACCAATTATCCTCACCTCGAATTTATTGTCAATTTCTGTTTGCTTGCGATCGTTCCCATGAGCCAGCTCTTCTTCAAATCTATTTATGCTTTGCCTTATTGAAGCTAATTGTTGCCTTAATCGAGTTGAGCCCTGCATTTTGTGAGTGAGCACACGCGCGTGCGCCGAATTCCATGAGCTCAAAAATCCGGGAGAAATATGAATATCTTGGGGGGATATGAGGAAAGTGATGACGAGACGGCTAATGAGCACTCCGAGGGACCAACTAATGTGTCTTCGGCGCTTGCGACAATTCCAGTTCGTCCAGATATAGTCGAGTATGCTCGAGAAAAGCGTCAGACCCCGGCGGACATTTTGGCGACGGTTGACCTGGAAACCGCTCAGCTGGTGCTTCCAATGTATGGGCCGGTGCGCCCCTCCCAAAAGGACGCTGGAACTCGTTTGTATCAGCAGCACCGAAATTTTGAGCTGGGGCACGTGTTGAATTGCCAAGAAGAAGATGGGAGAGTGTTGGAGCAGCGATTGAAGGACCGGGATAAAGAGCGTTTGCAAGAGGTAGCGCGTCTGCGTGACGAGAAGCGTCGAAGAACGGAGAAGGAACTGTGTTTGCCAGCGCTGGGAACCCGCCGTTTGGTGAATGACGACGCAGGGTCGGAGGATTACCAAGGACCGTGGGCGCCGTACGAGGGGGAGGAGGCCCGACAGGCGCGTTACAAGGAGTTGATGCGTGAGAATTCGGCGGCGGCTGAATTGGCTAGCGCATCAAAGGTGGCGGAGGAGGAGAAGAAGAAGGCGGAGAAGCTGGAGAGTCGGCAAGTGGACGCGAAATTCGTATTCCACTTAGATGAGGAGAAGGACTATATGGGCCACAGTTGGATAGCGGGTCCGCGTGTTCCTCCGAAGGAGGTTGACGAGTACGCATTGCCGAAAAAGGTAGTGCATAGCTATCTGGGTCATACCAAGCCGGTGTTAAGGATGCAGTTCTTACCGGGTCCTGAGCATTTATTGTTGAGTTGTTCGATGGACGGTAGCTGTAAGATATGGGACGTCTTTAACACGCGCGAGTGTGTGGCGACCTATACTGGTCATTCGAAGGCGGTGAAGGATTTGGGGTTCACTAATGACGGAAAGAGGTTTTATACGTGCGGTCTTGACACGTTGATCCGGCAGTGGGACACGGAGACAGGCCAGGTTATCTCCACCTTTGGTAATTCGAAGTTACCTTTTTCGCTGGCGGTGCACCCGGAAAAGAATAACGTGGTCGTGTGTGGTCATCAGAACCGGGTGGCGGCGCAATATGACGCGAACACGGGCAAGGTGGAGCAGGAGTACACGGAGCATTTGTCGGTGGTGAACACTGCGACATTTTGTGAGGGAGGTCGACGACTGGCGACAACGTCCGACGACAAGAAGATGTACATCTGGGAGTTCGGTATGAACGTGGTGGTGAAGCACATTGCTGAGCCGCACATGGCCTCCATGCCCGCCGTCACTCTCGACCCACAAGGCCAATTCCTTGTCTGTCAAAGCATGGATAACCAGGTCTTGCTCTACGAGGCCACCAACCGCTTCCGTCTCCAGTCTCGTCGCCGGTTCCGCGGCCACATCTCATCCGGCTATGCCATCAAACCCGCCTGTTCCCCCGATGCAGTCTTCCTAGCCTCTGGCGACGTTAACGGCCACCTTTGGGTCTGGGATTACAAAACCTGCCGCATGCTCCGCAACTATGAAGCCCACCGAGGCGCCCTCACCGCTGCCCTCTGGCACACTCACCGCCCCTCGCTCCTCGCTACCTGCGGCTGGGATGGCAACATCAAACTCTGGGAATAACAAGGCGAGTCATGACCAGTACCTGTAAGGACCGTTGAGTCCCAGTCCTGGTTGCCGTCCCCGGTCCAGGTGCAGAGTATCCGGGTGCATCATGTTCGGAATGGCGTATGGTAAGAAGGCGGCTGCGCCTCGGCGCGGCGTGGGAACGCCGGGGGTCCAGCCGCGGCCGTCTTTGCAGCCGAAGGGAGCGGCGGGGGCGGCGCAGCCGACGGGTGCGGCTAAGTTGGCTGGCGGCAAGTTGGCGGCTGGGAAGTTGGCTGCGTCATTTCGGGCGCAGCCTTCATTGGTGGAGCTGATGAACAAGAAGTCTGGCGGACTGAAAGGTGGTCCGGCGGGTGGTTTGAAGGAGCCGGTGAAGGCGGTGACAGGGAGTCATCGGTTTGGGAGGCCGGGACAGTTGAGTAGTAAGTTGTTGGAGCAGGCGGCAGCGACACCGAAGCCTAAGCGTGTGCGAGATGCGTTGATGGTGGAGATGATGAAGAAGAAAGGTGACACTGATTCGTGGGCGCGAAAGAGCGGGGATCGGGCGAAGTCTGACGCTGGGGAGGAACGTGCGCCACGGCAGCCAGCGCGCGGACTGCCACAAAGTGCGCGCC